GAAATAAAATGTAAGTTTTAATACATTAGAATTCAGTTATCAATTTATTAATTGTTACCAGATTACCAAAGCTTATTGTCCAGCATTTTGAAATTCCATGCTTATTTGGGAGAACAGTTCAATAAAAAAAAAAAAAAAAATCAACCTACCTACCCACCTTGAAAATTCTGGGTCGGGTTACTGCAAACAAACATTTTTTTAAGGATGGCCTAAACACTAATTAATTTCTTCTATTCTAAACAATCCCATTTCAAGTGAAAAAAGTGATATTGTTAGCACTATAAAAAGTTGATATTTACTTTGGTATAAATTGAACAGAGGTGTGAAGGTGTGAAAGGCAACAAAAGACTGTTGTGTTTTAAATGAAAGATGATTGCATTGTATTTATACAGTTGACTGGTTACTAAACAATTAGATATGACATGAATATATGTTGTAAATATTGTTTGTTAAAAGTATGTTAAAACTATAAAGTTGTAAATATGTTATGTTAACTTTAAAGTAAATTATGATTTTATTTCTTTGCTGAATAATATTTGCAATTATTTGTTTGACATTGTATTTATTCAAACTGTGATGAATATATAAAAGTAATGGTACTGATACTTAATTACTCCACCAAAAAAAGTACTGGTACTGCAGTACCGAGCTAAAATCTAGTACTGGTACTGGTAATGGTACTGCATAATTTGCCAAGTACTGGTACTGGTACTTAAGTACTACACCCTTACTACTGATGCAGCTCTGGTGACAAGACACCAAATGCTCCTCTTTATCCAGTATCAATGCTAACAAGCTAGCTGGATAGCGTTCTCAGATGAAAGAATTGAACATACTTAAATAAATGTTTAAATTACCTTTACTTCACAAGCCTCATCCAGTATTGTTAGGGCTGTCATGGCAACACTTCGACTTTGATCATATAACTGACCAACCAGGAACTCTATACCCCATGTGTTAAAGTCCTTCACTTTGGCACGTAAAAATACTCTCATCATTTTAGTACTGTAAAGTCTTCCAGCCTAGGTAAAAGATTTATTACATAAATAAATATATCTGCTTCAATAATTAATGATAAACTTGTAAAACAAATGTTAAATACTTTTTAACAAAGTTGACAGACAATTTATTGCTTATGATCACGAGTTTCCACATGCTGTTGATTTTCACATTTATTTCTACATCTTGTATTTAAAACAATTACACAAAGTAACATAATATAATTGTATACAATAGTGGTAGGTAATCAACAAAGTTGAAAAGATCAATTACCACTCATGATCAGGTATTTACACATGCTGGCACATTTAAACTTCTATTTGTATACATGGTTCCTATGATATCACGGGTTCTATGATATCACGGTATTTACATTTTCTGTGACTGCTAGTAAAAGCAACACACAATGATGCTAATATTTTTAAAACTGGCACACTAAAATCATTTTCATCTGCCAATAAATTCAATTTTGTAAATAATGAATGTATTCGTGACAAGCAAAATATTTTATAAAATCGTCATATTTTACTACTATTTTCCTAATATGTTTTTACACAGTCAATTAAAATATGTTATAATCACATATACCGACATATCATCTGTTCATATAGTTTGAATTTTATAGCAAGTTAACTGTTGGAAGTTTTTCATAACATAACATAATTTTGACCCATCTATCCTTCCATACTTGCATTTTTGGGGATTACCTTGATACCATAGTAACTTCATCAGAAATTACCCAAAATTGCCTACATTGGAAATATTTTAAAAAATGTCATTTTAATTGGATCTTTTGAAATAATTTTTTGACAAACAGTTCTGGGAATAGTTCACTTATTAGACAGAAGAAAAATCTCATTCGTGTATGATATTTATATTTGAATATTTTCCGACAAAGGTTAAGTACTGTGATATCATAGAACCCGGGCTATATGTTGTATTTAACACAAATACACACAGTTGTGTAATTTGAGTGTATGCAATAGTGGTAGGTTATCAAACATGACATCAGTTATAACTAGACCTATCACTGAAGGTGATTAATACCCCCACCAGCAACTTTGACTTTTGAAAAATAAGTTGTCTGAAGAAAAATTTGAAATAAACCTACAGTAAATAAAGTACCATCAGCACTGTGTACAAAGAATTCTTTCAATTTATTGCAATCCCAACCAGGATCTTGATATAAGCTTGCTATACACCAAGTTTGATAATAATATCTCATTCCTAACCCTAGTAATTGTCTGGAAACCATTTTTTTATTTTTAGTAACTGTAACCTTGAACCCAGGGAGTCCAATTGCAACACCAAGCGCGGTCTTCATGTAAGCTTGCTAAACGACAAGTTTGATTACAATATCTCATTCCTAACTTTAGTTATTGTCCGGAAACCATTTTTCTATTTTTAGTAAAAATGGTGACCTTGACCCCAGGGGATCCAGATGCAATACCAACGTATGTCTTCATATAAGTTTGCTATATACCAAGTTTGATTACAATATCTCATTCCTAACTTTAGTTATTGTCTGGAAACCATTTTTCTATTTTTAGTAACGGTAACCTTGACCTTGGCCCCAGGGGGTCCAGATGCAATACCAACCTATGTCTTCATATAAGCTTGCTACATACCAAGTTTTATTACAATATCTCATTCCTAACTTTAGTTATTGTCTGGAAACCATTTTTCTATTTTAAGTAACGGTGACCTTGACCTTGGCCCCAGGGGGTCCAGATGCAATACCAACCGGGGTCTTCATATAAGCTTGCTGTACACCAAGTTTGATTACAATATCTCATTCCTAACTTTAGTTATTGTCTGGAAACCATTTTTCTATTTTAAGTAACGGTGACCTTGACCTTGGCCCCAGGGGGTCCAGATGCAATACCAACCGGGGTCTTCATATAAGCTTGCTATATACCAAGTTTGATTACAATATCTCATTCCTAACTTAAGTTATTGTCCGGAAACCATTTTTCTATTTTTAGTAACGGTGACCTTGACCTTGGCCCCAGGGGGTCCAGATGCAATAGAAACCGGGTTCTTCATATAAGCTTGCTGTACACCAAGTTTGATTACAATATCTCATTCCTAACTTTAGTTATTGTCTGGAAACCATTTTTCTATTTTTAGTAACGGTGACCTTGACCTTGGCCCCAGGGGGTCCAAATGCAATACCAACTGGGGTTTCCACATAAGGTTGCTATATACCAAGTTTGATTACAATACCTCACTCAGAGATCTGCCGAGGACGCGATTTTGCGCCATTGGCGCTAAAAAAATGAGAATGGCGCAGGAAAATCGGCAGCAAAGGGCCATGGGCGCATCTAAAATATGTGCCAGACTTATAAGAAAACAAAACATGTTACCCATGCCCCTGTAATTACGCATATTCTTGAGTTTATCCATTCGTCCACGTTATCTACTTACCGCATTTCTTCTCAATCCCTTTCCCACACAGATACTCATTTCCACTACCGTTAATTTAATCCAATAAAGCAAACAAACACATTATACAACTACTTAATATTTAAAGTGATTATCGGTAACTGAAAAAAAAAATTTGCTATTTTAAGAAATGCTGTAAGTTACAGTTTAATCTGACAGGTGTTCAACTTGATCACCCCTAAGGTCACTCAAGATCACGCAAGTTTTGGCTGATGAAGTGTAAAAAAAGATGTATATTTCGTCATCAGAATATTTGACAGGGTGATTAACCAATCAGGGAAACATTGTGCATGACTTTTTTCATGTCGGCAAATGTCTTTGATGTATGCTGTCTACACAGAGGCATACAAGGGGCAATCAAATTCGTCAATATACAGTGGTAAGGGACATTTGGTGCAAAGTAGGAACAATAATAAAATAAGTTTGTCTATATCACAGTAATGTGTTAAGTTTCCATGCTTAGTAAGGAAATTATGTTTATACAACCTTGTCATATTATTACGATGTGGGATTTTAAAGTAAATCCTATAAGGAATGAAGAAGTTGGAGTGAAAATACCAGTTTCTCGAAAAAAATCTAAGTTAAAGGGGGACATAATTCTGGAAATAGTCTTGCTAGAGTATTTAACCTTCTCAAAAATGTCGAGTGATAATAAGAAACATATATATGAAGTTTGAAGTAGATACATTAGGAAATAAAGAAGTTATTTAAAAAAGACAACATTTTTTCCCCTAAAAAATCTAAGTTCAAGGGAGGTAATACTGATATTTTTTGTGCTAGAGTTATAAACCTTGTCACATATGATGTGGTTGATGACCAGAAACTTATATTTAAAGTTTGAAGTAAACACCTTAAGAAATAAAGAACATATAGTGAAAAAGCTGAAAAAATTTAAATCAGAAATCTTGAAATTCAGGCTATTTGTTGCCATAGCAACCAGAATTTTCAACATAGGAAGAAAAAAAAAGATGTGCATAATCTCCAGACTGCCATCTACCCATATTTCAAGTTTCATAAAAATATTTTCAGTACTTTTTGAGTTATCACTGGATCCAGTTTATGTGTTAAATTTGCCATATTTTCAGACTATTTGTTAATATTTAAAAAAATCTAAGTTTAAAGGGGGACATATTCTGGAAATAGTCTTGCTAGAGTATTTAACCTTCTCAAAAATGTCGAGTGATAATAAGAAACATATATATGAAGTTTGAAGTAGATACATTAGGAAATAAAGAAGTTATTTAAAAAAGACAACATTTTTTCCCCTAAAAAATCTAAGTTCAAGGGAGGTAATACTGATATTTTTTGTGCTAGAGTTATAAACCTTGTCACATATGATGTGGTTGATGACCAGAAACTTATATTTAAAGTTTGAAGTAAACACCTTAAGAAATAAAGAACATATAGTGAAAAAGCTGAAAAATTTAAATCAGAAATCTTGAAATTCAGGCTATTTGTTGCCATAGCAACCAGAATTTTCAACATAGGAAGAAAAGAAAAAGATGTGCATAATCTCCAGACTGCCATCTACCCATATTTCAAGTTTCATAAAAATATTTTCAGTACTTTTTGAGTTATCACTGGATCCAGTTTATGTGTTAAATTTGCCATATTTTCAGACTATTTGTTGCCATAGCAACCAGAATTTTCAACATAGGAAGAAAAAAAAAAGACGTGCATAATCTCCATACTGCCATCTATCCATATATCAAGTTTCATAAAAATATTTTCAGTACTTTTTGCGTTATCGCGGGATCCAGTTTTGTGGACGGACGGACTGACGGACTGACAGACTGACAGACAGACAGACGGACAGACAGACGGACAGACAGACAGACGGACGGTAAACCTAAAGTCCCCTCCGGTTAAACCGGTAGGGGACTAATTAAATGGATAATGCACAGTATAAGACATTACAAGTAAGAACCAGCAATTATGTGAATAAATTTGCATATCAAATTTTTGAGCAGCCATTCAAAAAATATTTTGCCTGCAATTAATATTAGTTAGTAACTTACCATGTAGGCATAATTTTTAATCATTGGTTAAGTACTGAATCATAAGTGAACCACTTGTCATAAAATATTATTTAAGGTTTATTACCAGGGAAATTCAATTATCTACAAACTTTAACAGTTATTTTGGTCAATGTTTACTTATTTTCCCAAGGCCCATACTTTGGTAAAAATGGCCCATCATTTTCAGACCAAGTGGGCCCAGGGCCCAGTACTTTCAAATTCTTGGCAGATCTCTGCCTCACTCCAAACTCTAGTTATCATCTGGAAACCATGATGTGGACCGACAAGCTGACTCCTATATACCGCCCCCCACCCTAATCTTCGTTTGTGGGGGTATAATAAAGAAACATGTGACTAACAGGAAACTTAATAGTTCAGTGTGTAGATGTAACAAGAGAAGTTACCTCTGATCCTGCACACAGAGCCTTAGAGAGGACAGCTCTACAGTTACCATCTCTACCATAATATAAACATGAAGCTATCAGCTTAACATAGCATTCCTGAGGTGCTGATGATACTATGTCTAGAAAACTGAAATAAATGTAAATATAAACAGATGTTCTCACCAAATTCTGAACAAATCTATGAATATAATATAGCTTATCCATTCTGAATTTCCAATAATTGTCTCACGAAGCTGATATTAGAAAAATGAACTTGTCCAGCTTCCATTTTTAAAATTGTGTATTCCCAATTTTTGGGATATTCAAATGAAAATTAAATTTATTCAGTCATTACAGCAAGAATGTGAAGGAATGCCTGGCTCTATACTGGTTGGTGGCAAATACTAATAACTTTCAGGTCCAGCAGATAAAGGGTTAACGATAAACAAATTGAATACAAACAGGATCTATATAGCCTGTAAAAATATGAATTATTAGTAACTATAATAAAAATATGAATTATTAGTAACTATAATAAAACAAGATATGTTTGTAAAACATGTATGCCCCCTATCAGCAGCCAATTAGTCATGTGATAAGGTTATTATGACTTCTGACCCAGTGATCAAACAATTAATAAGGGTTATCAAGTATCTACTGGTCATGACCTTAACCTTTGACCCCTTGACCCAAAACTCAATAGGGGTCATCTGCTGGTCACGACCAATCATCATACAAAGTTTGAAGTTCCTAGGCCTAAGCGTTTTTTAGTAAATTGATCGGAAACCGTTTTAACATACAAGGTCAATGTGACCTTGACCTTTGACCCCTTGACCCCAAAATCAATAGGTCATCTGCTGGTCATGACCAATCACCATACCATGTTTGAAGTTCCTAGGCCAAAGGGTTCTTAAGTTATTGATTTGAAAGCATTTTTACCTACAAGGTCAATGTGACCTTGCCCTTTGACCCCTTAACCCCAATATCAATAGGGGTCATCTACTGGTCATGACCAATAATCATACCAAGTTTGAAGTTCCTAGGCCTAAGGGTTCTTTAGTTATTGATTGGAAACCGTTTTTACCTAAGAGGTCAATGTGACCTTGACCTTTGACCCCTTGACCCCAAAGTCAATAGGGGTCATCTACTGATCATGACCAATCACCATATCAAGTTTGAAGTCCCTAGGCCTAAGGGTTCTTTCGTTATTGATCGGAAACCGTTTTTACCTACAAGGTCAATGTGACCTTGACCTTTGACCCCTTAACCCAAAATCAATAGGGGTCATCTGCTGGTCATGACCAATCACCATACCAAGTTTGAAGTTCTTAGGCATAAGGGTTCTTTAGTTATTGATCGGAAACCGTTTTTACCTACAAAGTCAATGTGACCTTGACCTTTGACCCCTTAACCCCAAAATCAATAGGGGTCATCTGCTGGTCATGACCAATCACCATACCAAGTTAGAAGTTCCTAGGCCTAAGGGTTCTTTCGTTATTGATCGGAAATCGTTTTTACCTACAAGGTCAATGTGACCTTGACCTTTGACCCATTAACCCCAAAATCAATAGGGGTTATCTGCTGGTCATGCCAATCACCATACCAAGTTTGAAGTTCCTAGGCCTAAGGGTTCTTTTGTTATTGATCAGAAACAGTTTTTACCCAAGAGGTCAATGTGACCTTGACCTTTGACCCTTTGACCCTAAAATCAATAGGGGTCATCTACTGATCATGACCAATCACCATACCAAGTTTGAAGTTCCTAGGCCTTAAAGTTCTTTAGTTATTGTTCGGAAACCATTATTGCTTACAAGGTCAATGTGACCTTGACCTTTGACCCCTTGACCCCAAAATCAATAGGGGTCATCTACTGATCATGACCAATCACCATACCAAGCTTGAAGTTCCTAAGCCTTAAAGTTCTTTAGTTATTGATCGGAAACCGTTTTTTGCTTACAAGGTCAATGTGACCTTGACCTTTGACCCTTGACCCCAAAATCAATAGGGATCATCTACTGATCATGACCAATCACCATATCAAGTTTGAAGTTCCTAGGCCTTAAGGTTCTTTAGTTATTGATCGGAAACCGTTTTTTGCTTACAAGGTCAATGTGACCTTGACCTTTGACCCCTTGACCCCAAAATCAATAGGGTCATCTACTGGTCATGACCAATCACCATACCAAGTTTGAAGTTCCTAGGCCTAAGGGTTCTTTAGTTATCACTCGGAAACCATTTGGTCTACGGACCGACGGACCAACGGACCGACGGACCGACAAGTGCAAAGCAATATACCCCCTTTTCTTCGAAATGGGGGCATAAATATGAATTATTAGTAACTATAATAAAAATATGAATTATTAGTAACTATAAAGAATCACTGTAAATTACAGACAAATTGGGGCTTATTGGTCCATGGGTTAGAAATCCGATCTTTATTTAAATGAACAAAGAATTACAAAAATTAAGCATACATGTATGTTACTAAATAAGTATACTTACTGTTGGTATATACCAGCTTTCTCCAGTTGTCTATCTCCTTTAGATGTCAAAGAAAATCTCCCAATAAACAGGAAGTAATAATGACTCAGTGTACTAATAACATTATTTACACTCAATACAGACTCTGGTGCTATCCTCTGTAATGCAACCTGCAATATTAAATGTTCTACCTAGAACTAAAAATATGTCTCCCATATTCCACTGTTTTGTCAGTCTACCGACAGACAGCATAAGACTGACCAGGGTATGGCTAAGTGGCCCCACCCCCTGATAAGTAGTGGCAAAAAGATTTAAATGATACTTTTAATGTACAAAACAATGAAATTTCAAATCAACACTACAAATCTGTTTTAGCACAAATAATTTCATTAAAATATGCACATAAAAGATAATCAACTACCCTTTTTGAGATAATTGCTTGAAAATTATGAGGACAGCTCTTGAATAATACTATAATACAATCACTTATCTAAAGGACTTAGTGCTTTAGGTTTTACTGCTTTGTTCCAGTATTTCTCTTAACAAAAGCTTGGTGGTAAAACAGGTTCTAGTAATTAAATATCAATTACTTTTCAGTATGCTTCCTGACAATAATGAATACTAGAGTCACGTGTGGAAATATGGTCATGAATAACGAGCCCTTGATGCAAAAATCAGAAACACAAGAATTACTTAATACTCTATCTTAAGAACTAATTAGCTAATGATAATATTTATGTCATAAAGCAGTACATGTCACTTACCTCAGATAAACATAATGCAATATCTGTGAGATAATCAGTTAAGATTTTAGTGCCTTCCTCCTGTAAAACAAATTTAATGAAAATCTATTTTATTCAATTATGATGCAAATTATCTTCAAAAGGCAAAAAAAAAAAAAGCAATTTTAAAATTGTAATTAATTGCTGGAACTAATTTGCCACTGACTTATCTCACATAATGTGACTCTTTTGAAACATGTAATCTTTGAAAAGAACTTTGACAAGAGTCTTAGTGACAGTTTAAATTAATCATACAAAGAATTTCCACAATTATCAAAGACAATATAGCATTAAATAGGATTAATTAGAACAAGAAAAAACATCCAGCAAACAACATTAGGCCCAACTTGTACAATTCAATGAATGTATTATTTAGAGATATTCTCTATTTCTTTTTACAATGTCACACATATATTCATATATTCTGCCATACCTGTTCACATCTGATAAGAAAATCAGCCAGCTGGCAACCTGCCAAAGCAAATTTCCTGTGAAACTCATGGTCTGATTGCATCCGAGAAAACACGTGGTTTGTAGGTTTGAAGAAAAACACTAGTCTCTTGATAAATCTGAAAGAGAGAAAATAGATATTAATTGCAACTTACTTATATGATGTATATCAGGACTTTACTGATCACTAAAAATGATTTCTACATAAAATATAATTATTTCTTCCACAGAAATATAATAATTGAAATGAGAATTTACCTGACATGTGCCTGATCCTCTAGTTTTCTTAGTTTATCATCTGGCCACTGTAAGATTTAACAACACAGAAATGTTATTATATCTGACTGGCATCAAAGCAATTACAATGTCAAAATAAAGCTTAACTTGAAATTAATTATTATTCTACAAGAAATGCATCAGACAAGCTTGAACATTTATGCAATATAGCAAGACTGCACAGATTGCTGTAGTATTTTACATTTTAAATATAATCCAACAAACCATCTACACACAGTTTCTTATTCAAAACAAAGTAAGTCCATTTCACATATTTAGAAACATAATGCTTAACAATAGAGAAATTCCTGTGAATGAAATGTATGTCTTCACATTAATTATCTTTTTTATTTGACAACATTGTGTACAGAACATACCTTAAGAACATATTCAATAAGATCCCAGTCCCAGTTGGTGTTGTCTTTTGTTGTCAATACTTGAGTATCTCTCAATGTTTGCATACAAACTTCCTCCGATGATGATGCCCGCTGCAAAAAAATATTAAAATTTCCACTATATCATATTTTCATATTCTTATTTTTTTAGACCACATTTGTTCATTCATTTAAGTGTAAAATAAAACCATTGATATATTATCTGTGTTTCAATTCCTCATGTTTTATATAATAACAACACTATATGCTTCTATCGGGCGTTTTAATCTTCATGTGAACATACCTACCTTATAATTGGGAGGGCCGATAAAAATGTTGATAGAACTCTTGACCTAACTCTTTTATATGAGAACTTTTATCAAAAATTGTGATAAACTTACAAATGGTTAAGTTTCTACATAGAAATTGAATTTGGTAGGGGCTTTTTGTACACATGACCACATGTGTCACTTTATGCATTATTTCAAACACAGGCTGGCACAATAACTTTCAAGAACATCCCACAAAACTAGCTAGATAACTTACTTATATGTCACTCAGATTAGAACAAACAACAATGTGGAGAAAAAGTTAATTGATTCATTCAGCCTACATGACCTATATAATCTTAAGTAACCCGTTAACCTGCTGAATTTCCATAATTCATTTGCCGAGCTTTGAATTTATCCTGACTGTATACTGGTGTAAAAGGCTTCATATAATTAAGGGTTAAGAAACTAACCTTTCTAATATGCATGTCTAGTAGTTTATCTTTCTGCATGATCAGAGACTGGGGTCTATCTTTGTAGCTCTCCGACTGTTTCACAAGCTGGTCTAGATACAAGCTACATGGTATAGGTCCTCTCTTCTTTAACACATGAATTCTATCTAAGTAATTCACCGCTAAACTAGCTCGGCTGTAAAAGGCAAGAAATCAGTGTGTATTTAAAATATTTAGTACGAAAGTTAAATAAGAATACCTATTACAAGTTAAATAACATCTGCAAGTTCTGTTTTAGAATTGGCAGACTATATAGTTCCTAAAATATACCTTAGAGGCAATTATATCTATAAAATACAACTTTAATCTGCATAACTGAACGCTGTATTCTACATATATAATACTTTGAATTAGTTTTTACAAAGTTCTTTCATATACGTTTTTCATCATTTGAATAGTGTCACTTCATGCTGCTACAATATAATAATATACCAACTAATGTATTTTAATAAATGTTAGAAACAACAGGAACATTTCTGAAGTATACAGGTTAAATGTAATGTTAACCTTTACCCTTTGCCACCAGTATAGAGCCAGGCCAGCCTGCACAGTAATGAAGTCCGACAAGGCTCTACATTGATGCTAGCTCAATTTTCCTTTGAATAGACTATTCCAAATTCAAATGCATTCTAAATAAATTATAAATGCAGAAATAACATTTCTGAAGTATACACATAAAATGTTAACACCAGTATAGAGCCAAGCCAGCCTGCAAATCTATGCAGTCTGACCAATCTCTATACTGCTAGTAGCTCAATATTTGTGTTTTGATATTGAAATTTCTTAAACTTAGAGCAGACTGTTCCAAATTCAACACTGGGCAATTCCATTACATAAATTGTGCATATTCAGGGTTAAAACATTAAATGTCATATAAAGATAAATATAAACATACTGTCTTTGACTGTCTGAGATATCAAATGATGAGGCGAGTGCCATCAGTGAGGGGAGGTAATGACTGTGATGACTACATTCTGGTGGTAACAACTGGTTTGCCTGAAATAACAAAACATCACTATAAATACAGGTCTATGACAGCAAGCTAGAACCAGTCTGTACAGATATCTGTATATTTGTACTGACCAAAATATTTATCACAAGATGGTCAATTTTATGACTTTATCATGAAATACTCAACTAATAATGGAAAGTTACAAATTTAAATCAGAAATTACACAAAGTTAGAGTAAAAATCAAAACTATTTTCAAAAATAGCAGAACTATAAAGAATTAGATATGATTTAATGATGGGTTTATGAAAATTTTAATAGAAATTATACACTACATTGTTGTTACATGACCTATACATTGTCAACTTACCAAATGTAAAAGTTCAGCTAAAAGTATCACAGCTCGAATAAACAGTTCACCTTCTGATGTTATGATTACTTCAACTAATGCCTGTAAATAACAAAAGATGGTACTGGTTTTAAACTTTCAACTTTTTCTAAAGATAAGAAATAGAGGAAATGTATATAACATAGATTACCCTGAACAATGAGTAATAATTTTGTCATCAGTCATGTGATTTTTTTCACTTTAAGCACAATACAAAATCACTTAAAACCATTAACACTTGAACTTCTTAAATGGCCTTGTGCAACTTCCATTTTTGAAACTGTTTACTATAAATTTTAGAGATATAAAGATGAAAAATTAAAATTAAACAGTCCACAGACTACAGCCTGATCAGCCTGTACATCCCTGGCAAAAGTGAATCACTTAGTTCCAGCAGAGTAAAGGTGAAGTTAAAACTTTACTAACAATTGCTAAAATTTACATTTTGCAGATGCCATAAAACTAAGTAAAAACATCTTTAATGACAAAGAATAGACAGATATTTCTTGTTTCAACTTATGTCAAAGGCACTACTAAAATCTAATTTTAAAATATTCTTTATTGTAACTAAAACTGTTTTTTTTTTAGATAAAACTCAATAAAAGAAGGTAGTAAGAGGAGAATACTTACATCTAATATACCAGCACCTATCCATGCAGACAACAGCAAAGCTAGATGATTTTCTACTAAATTAGGCCTGAAATTTTCAAATTTTAATTTCATGAATATTGAAAATATTCCAATACATATACATAAACAAGTTCTTGTAAAACAACCCACAGATTCCACTACTAAGCATTCAAATTGTTGTAATTCCAATATAAGAACATTTCTAACAAATGATTCAAAATATGCAGCCTATATAAAGATGAAAATAAAATAAAGTCATCATAATCATTTTTATTATGTCTCCAAAAAGTTTCAATTTATTTTATTTTTTTGTTGTTAAATGGATAAAAGAGGTTTATTCAAGTAAGAGGGTGACATAAATCTGAAACATGATGATGAGTCTAGATATGTATGGTTATAACTTACCTAACAGTAGAAGTATGTGGAAAAATAGTTTTGCCCTCGTTAGCAACAAAACCTTCAGTGAGATGCCAATTTTCTATCATAGTGGACGGATCTGAAAAATATAGATAGAGCAAATCAAGAATGAAATTATCATGAAAGGAAAATTCTAACACTATTTGGAGATTTCAGTAACAAACATCTACATTATTTTACAACAATGGAAATTTTCTCATTTTCATTTACAAAGGAAACCGGAAGACTGCATTATTTCACAACAATGCACTTGCCTCTATCATTCTCTCCATGTACAATATGCATCTACGCTACAATGTGCATGCCTTGTCCAAAGATCCCATATGTCAAATTTCTTTTAAAAACTTTCATGTAATGAAATATGTAAACTTCTTTCCTTAGTCCTTGAAAATAATAACTTTCAATTCAACGGTGATCATTATATACAAAAAATGGGAACAGCAATGGGAAGTTCTATGGCACCCTCTTACGCTTCGCTTTTTATGGGTAAATTTGAAAATGACTTTTTAAGCCAACATTCTTTAAAACCTAGTTTATGGTTCCGTTTTCTTGATGATATATTTTGTATATGGAGTTATTCCCTTGATGATTTGAATGCTTTCATTGATAGTTTGAATAACTTTCATCCATCTATAAAATTTACAGCGAACGTTTCTAAATCTCTCGTATCATTTTTAGATGTAAACGTTTCATTAGACGAAAACAATATTATTCACACTGATATACATGTTAATGAGACAGATAATCATCAGTATTTAGAATACTCTTCCTGTCACCCAGTGTCTTGTAAAATGGTATTCCGTACAGTCAAGGAAAACGTTATCGCCATATCATTTCTGACGATAATGTTTTCAACGATTCTTTACAGAATTTACGTACATACTTCAAAGCAAGAAATTATCCTATCAATGTTATTGATAACGCACTAAGTAAGGTTTCATGTCTAACACAGGATGAGGCCCTGTGTACTAACAACAAAACAAGTGATGGCAGTGTTATTCCCTTTGTTGTTGAGTATAACCCAACTTTACCTAATATTAGTAATATAATTAAAAAGTATTGGGATTTACTTAAACTTTCAAGTAAATGTTCTGTGCAAAAGCTTCATGAAAGTAAACCTTTGGTTGCATTTAAAAGACCTAAAAATCTAAAAGACATTCTCGTTAATTCTAATATTAGGTCTAATAACAAAAATGCGAAAAGTTCATCCAAATGTAATAGAAGTAGATGTACACATTGCAGCTCCATTATTGAAAGCAATATATTTAGTAGTACTAATATTCCTGGTAAGAATTATCATGTAAATAACAATACTGATTGTTCTACGAAAAATGTTATATATCTTGTCACTTGTGATAAATGTAAAGAGCAATATGTTGGTCAAACGAAGCAACAAGTGTCTAAACGCAAGAATAGCCATAGGTTTGATATCAACAATTTTTCCGATCCGTTATTTTCGACCAATGTCGCTACACACTTTAATAAAACCAATCATTGTATTAAGGATATTAAATTTATGTCTATAGAGATTGTCACCGATGATATGGAACGCTTATTACAAGAATCATACTGGATTCATAAGCTTAACACATTATCTCCTAATGGTATGAATGCAAAAGTTTTGTACAATATATAACTTTGTCATTATTGAGCCGGTATACATATACATGTAGTATGTTTTTTCTCATATCAAGGTTTTTTATTATTATTAATTATGAGAATTTTTGTATCACATGTGCAGATCCATATTATATGTGTAATTTATTGTATATTGCTGTATTTATATTCATTTTATTGGACAAAGTTTTTATTCCCGCGTTAACGTCACGTTCTGTTTAGCGTATAGTTAAACGGACGTTGCGTCATTTGTCATTTTATAAACGTCAATTTTTTCTGAAGAAGATTAACCGTCGAAAGCTTAAGAAAAGCGTTTGTTTTTATTGAACTGATTATATAAATTTCTTTTATAGAATTCAAATAAAACAAAATGTTTTTTTTTTCTTTCTCAAAATATATGCTCATATGGTTAATGTATCAACAATCTTTTCAGCAGATTGGAATAGCCTATAGTCCAACATTTTTTACAATGCCTTTCATCACAATTGCATGTACTTTTGACCTTCATGATTATACGATTGTGAATCTTAAAAAAATATTGTGCTATATAATACCACAATGCACTCCAAATCGAGATATATTTAAGAAATATAAACAAAACAACCTCTGTAAAATATGTCAGAAAGATTTCCCCCCTATTATTATTTAAAGCTGACACAGATTTATCATACAGATATATTGTATTATAAATAGAAACTTACCAATACTAATAAGGGCCTCATTGAAGTTAGTTGTCCATTTAGGCAGTGAGATATGGAACAGCTCATATATCAACTCAACTATCCCTTGCTGTAGCAAAAAAAATATAACACAATAATTAATAACAATTCAGACTACCAACATGTACTCTTATCACTTTTGTACAACTGTTTATTTTTCGTTCATATTCATAAATTTGAGATATAACAAAATAAATTATTATTGTACAACCATTTGGTATTTTTCTTTCAAATTCATAAATTTGACTAATAACAAAATTGTTTTTAGTTATTATCATAATACCTACAATTATTTATTCTATTTGTCATGTATTTTCTTTGCAAACAAAATGAATTGGGTAGTTCTTATTGGAAAAATACTACTATTTAGCTCTGAATTTAGTGAAAAGGTGTACTGCCTACTTTACAGTTTCAAAAATTTTCACTAACCATTTGCAAAAAGAATATAAGAACAGGATTATCAGTACTTATCAAACGCAGTAGAAAAATAGCTTAAATATACAAGAACCCATTGGTATTTCATGTAGGCAATAAATAAAACATTATTCTTACATCTAAGATAATTAGACAGAAAGAATAAAAGTTAACTTACTCGAATATCTGTAAATGGAAGATAGAGGATTCCAACAAGTGACTGTAACCCTGTACCATCTGGCCGACAGAAACGTATGATTCCTGAAAAACATATATACAAAATGTAATATAGTATATAATAGTTCCTTAAATATTCCATATTATATATAACAACAATACCCTCAAATAAAAATAAAATATACCTCCATCATGTTAAGTTACATATTTAATTTTCTGTTACTCTACACATTTAAATGCTTAAAATCCTAACAACAACAGCAGCAGTAAAAGTCAGTTTCTCTCCAAAAATTATGTAATACAAATTAACATTATATTGTTAAAATAATGGTATCATGGCTTCTTGCCTATAAGCTATATAGCAACCTAACATATTTTACGTCACACCAACACAATTTAGGTCATATGGCGACGTTCCAGCTTTACTGGTGGATGAACACCTCTGATGCCCTTCCATGCATTATCTCAGGCACAAATGGGCACCTGAGTTGAACCATTGATGTTCTGTAAGCTAGCTGGATAACATACATGCAGTTTCCACTAAAACTAAATTTTACCTGGCCATGATCTCATGACAGTAATGACAGCCATCTTGCTTGCTGTAAATCTGGCATCTCTATCCTCACTGAAATATATGTAACCTGTACCATTTATATGTTAAACAGATTAGTTTTAGACAAAATATCTGAGCAGTAATATAAACTCAAAGCTCCTGTATAGTTTACATGACTCAATAAAATGAAATGGCAATGCCAGGAAAAGACCAGGCATAGTGGTTTAAGAGTCTGCCTCTAAAGTGAGGAAATGGTGTTGAGCTCTGGTATGAACCATATTTCTTCATAGATTTTCTACTTTAACTTTGTTTTTTTTATGACAAGATATGCCATTTTGATCATATTTTATTGTTCTCAAATACAATTCAATTCCGATATGGAGTAACTATTTTCCGCTAGGGTTGTACAATATTCGATCAGATGGGAAAAAATACATAGTTGTGTACAACTAAAATACAAACAATTGTTATATTTTGTCATAAAAAACTAAGGTAATATTTAGAATCAATTTAAAACTTTTTAGCCCCTTAGTCAAATACTAACCTCTGTTACTGGTTATTGAATTTTCTAACTGGTTTTTAGCTAAAAACAGATAAACATGACACCCCATTAATAACCTAAAGAAAATTGATTTATATAGTCTCATAAACTGACATACATATTTAGTATATATTTGACTCTCACCTTGTCTGTTCAAGTGATTCCCCTGAATAACTAAAATGACAATCTGTAAACGGAGCTATCAATTGCTGAAAGTTAATGAAGAACACATAAATATGTTAATAAATAACTGAAGCATAAAGTGATAAAATCTCTAAACATAATAAATTTACAAACATTCAACAAACTTCACCGAAATGTAAATTAATAGGAAATCCTTGTGGAGTTTTAAGTAAAATATAAACAATCTTCTACAGTTTAGCCAGATAAGCTACTTCAGTAAGGCTGCTATTTTTACTTTACTTAATCTATTTATCTGCTTGTTTTGGTTGTGTTAGCCATATGTTATTTTCAAAACTTTACTGATCAAAAAAAGAACCATCAACCTTTTGTTAGTTAACTGTATAGTTATCTCTTATGTAAACTTTCTATGTCCTTGTCAGATATCTAACAAAAAAGCAGCTGTACTAATAATTCAATATAAGGAACTTATATTATTAAAACAATCTGCATTTAAAACCACAAATAATCTGATGAGGCGAATACATAAAAAAATCTACCTCTAAGTCTGTATTAAATCTCACAAAATGCCTGGTAGATGGGAAATTAACAAGATGTAGTATGGTTGATACAATAGACTCATTGATACGTGGATACTGATGACAATCTAAAATCTTACGTAACAACATGCTTATACCACCAAATGAGCAACTAGGTCTGGGTTGTGGTATGCTGAAAAATAATAAATACAAGTACTTTAATTTGTTAGATTGCTTGTCTGGTTTTTACACTAGATTTTAACACATTTTAATTGTATCTTGGTGGGTCTGTCCACCTAACTGTCTTTCCTGGATAACTAACCAGTAATTATCAAATTTCTCTGCAATATTCAATTAATTTCTCTGTAATACTTTAATCATATCCGTGTTTTGAAACAAATACATAACATGACATTCAACAATTTAAAATCGTAACTACCAACTGTAATATCATAAAACATGCTTTTAAATTTTACAATTAATTATTTACACACATTTAAAGGAAATTCCCAAAATTTTGATGTAAAAAATTAGAGATAGTAGAAGCAGTATTATAGACAAACATTAAATGAGTTTCCTCAAACACTGTCAAGGAAAATAAGTTTTCAAATTAACTTTCTTAACAATAAGAACATATTATTCTTTTTAAGTTTTATGCACTGAAAATAATTTCCAATAATATATTAACATGCAAATGTATATTTGACATTAATAGGGTAATAAATGAAAACATACTTAATTCACAAATACAAGCTAGTGATGCTCTAACCATTCTGTCCCTTTCATTGACTCCATCGTTACCAATAGCAACAAGAGGTTGAACCAATGACCTTGGCATCTTGGAAGGAAGATCAGATGAAAATTTTTCTAGCCAACTTTTTGGGCATGAATTCTTTTCAATTTCATTGTCAAGACACAGGTCCAATGATCTGATTTAAAAACATACAAAAGAAAATGAAATATTTTTCAAAATCTCAATGAAAAGAGTTCCGCAAGGTTTTAAATACACATGTACTGATTTGTAGAAAATCAAAGCTATGAAAGGCACTGAAATAAGTTGACAATACCTTATTTCAAATAATTTTTTCTTCTTTTTAATTTGTAAAAAAGAACAGAGAAAGAAAATATACAAACATCTAGAAATCATTTTTTCACATGTAAAGAAACAGGTCCATCCAATTAGGAATATCAATAGTCATCAAATTAGGTAAATTGGGGGAAAAAGATGAGTTTTTCATCAAATATTATACTCAAATGCCCCCTTATGTTTATGATTAAAAATTCTACCTTTTCCATAAATCTTAACTACTAAGACACTGTTGCACACTTTAAGCAATTGAGTTCTTTTTCAGCAGTTGGGTTGGAAAATTACAATATTAGTCATTACCTAAACAGTGTTGACTTGACTTTGAACCTAATGTAACAAAGTAATAATATTTAAAACATCAAGTATAATAAAATGTTTTACCTTGCAATAAAAAAAAAAAAAATTTTAAAAATTAAAAAAAAAAAGAAAAACAAAAAAAAAAAAATAAATAAGAAAAAAAAAAAAAAAAGTAAAAAATAAAATAAAAAAAAAAAAAATTAAAAAAAAAATAAGAAAAAGATAAAAAAAAAAAGTCCAGTAGAACCTGGACAGATTCATCATCTGTTAATAAATGTTGATAAAAAAAAAATGTCCAGCTCGAACTTCCTTAGGTGCATGTAGCAGATTTACACTTAAACTGTAAATGTATAGTTGAAAATCAATAATAATATGTGAGGTTCATCAAATTATGAAATCTATTGCAAATTTTTAGACATATACTGAAAAAAAAATCTAACTCCATCCGGGGGCTTTACAGGTAGGAGATGAGGCTTTTCTTTAAATTTGGAGAAAAATGACAAATTTTATTATTGCACAAGGGGAATAAAATAAACTTTATAAGATTTGTATGATTTTAAAGATATTTCATGATGAGATGATGCTCCAAAGATTTAACAGCCAGACAAGATATATTCTTTCTTTTCAAGACAATTTTAGTTCACAAAAAGCAAAATTAATACATTTATTGAGCAAATTTTCATGTTAATTCAAGTGTCTTTTTTCCATTCCTTTGACATAAACAGAAATTTGGCATTTGTTAATCTTAAATCAATTGTAATGATAATTTTCACATTTCTGATATCAGGACTTATACACATAAATTCATACCATATTAAGATGCTCCGCAGAGGGAATCCCAGGTTTGCTGTTCCTCCACATTTATTGATAAGTTTTACAAAAACATTCAGATAACCAAGCTTCTTAGCTTTGGAAAAAGAATGTTCTTTTATCACATATGTCAAAATTTCTTTCACATTTTCTACAGGCTCTGTAAAACAAAAGCAATTTTGTAATCATAAGCATAACAATTCAGCTAACCATTACCTTTAAAAAAAAGAGAATAACAGGAGTTTTAAATAATTGAGAGTTAAGAAATGCTCCTTTTGATTAACAACTTGTATTTCTAATAAATGATTGTCTTAATTAAATATAAGGAGATTACTTTTTTCAGCAAAGATAATTCATTACCAAAACTTTTAAGTGTTTGGAAGAATTACAACTTATAACTGGCTTTTTATAGAAAATAAAACAAAGTTAGAATTAATAATTTTTTACATCTAGTGTAATCTCTATGAAACTACAAAATGAAATATAGTATCTGCAAATTTAGTGGTCACAAGCCCATTGACCTATGGGTAATACTTTTATAGAATTCGGGTTTGGTCCATAATATTTTCTAAGTCACCTGACCAACTAGGCAAAACCTATGGTACTAGGAGTAAGCTAGAGACTACAATCAAACGATGATGTAGTTCCTGTGTAACATCTTAGACAAATAACAACATTTGCTACAAACTTCTACACCTTAACATGTTTTCCAGAAAATAATTAAAATGCAAATGCCTGTCTTACTTGTACTGCTAGAATGAAGAAAAACATTACAGAATATTGCTGACTTTGTGTTTGAGACTTTTTTTGTTAAATGGTGGCACCCACAAACAGCAAATGACATTTAAAATTTTTGACAGATATATACATTTTAATATTTTCAAACTAAAAATAAAACAAACAAGAGCTGTCGGTAGGACAGCAACGCTCGACTATTCTAGTGCTTGATAGTAAAAAATAATGCTTGATAGAGTTACCTACTCCTGTTTACAGTTTGGTGTCATGATGGTGAACAAGTATGCAAAGTTTCAAAGCCATATGTCAATGGACTTTGAAAATATTTGAGGTATTACAAAAAACTTTAACGTAAATTCTAAGTCGAACAAGAGCTGTCGGTAGGACAGCATGCTCGACTATTCTTAGTGCTTGATAGTAAAAAAAATGCCTGATACAGTTACCTCCTCCTGTTTACAGGTTGGGGTCATGATGGTGAACAAGTGTGCAAAGTTTCAAAGCCATATGTCAATGGACTTTGAAAATATTTGAACTATTACAAAAACTTAAAACGTAAATTCTAAGACGAAAAAGGGGCATAATTCTGTCAAAATGCTTGATAGAGTTACCTCCTCCTGTTTACAGGTTGGGGTCATGATGTTGAACAAGTGTGCAAAGTTTCAAAGCCATATGTCAATGGACTTTGAAAATATTTGAACTATAACAAAAACTTTAACGTAAATTCTAAGACGAAAAAGGGGCATAATTCTGTCAAAATGCTTAATAGAGTTACCTCCTGCTGTCTACAGGTTGGGGTCATGATGTTGAACAAGTGTGCAAAGTTTCAAAGCCATATGTCTATGGACTTTGAAAATATTTGAACTATTACAAAAACTTTAACGTAAATTCTAAGTCGAAAAAGGGGCATAATTCTGTCAAAATGCTTGATAGAGTTACCTCCTCCTGTCTACAGGTTGGGGTCATGATGGTGAACAAGTGTGCAAAGTTTCAAAGCCATATGTCAATGGACTTTGAAAATATTTGAACTATTACAAAAACTTTAACATAAGTGGTTACGCCGACGCCGACGCTCGGGTGACTGCAATAGCTCTACTTATTCTTATCGAATAGTCGAGCTAAAAAGGGGCATAATTCTGTCAAAATGCTTGATAGAGTTACCTCCTCCTGTCTACAGGTTGGGGTCATGATGGTGAACAAGTGTGCAAAGTTTCAAAGCCATATGTCAATGGACTTTGAAAATATTTGAACTATTACAAAAACTTTAACATAAATTCTAAGTTGAAAAAGGGGCATAATTCTGTCAAAATGCTTGATAGAGTTACCTCCTCCTGTCTACAGGTTGGCGTCATGATGGTGAACAAGTGTGCAAAGTTTCAAAGCCATATGTCAATGAACTTTGAAAATATTTGAACTATTACAAAAACTTTAACATAAGTGGTTATGCCGACGCTCGGGTGACTACAATAGCTCTACTTATTCCTATCGAATAGTCGAGCTAAAAAACATTTATTTCATTTTTGAAGTTTCTTACAGATATACATGTGTAGTCTTTTTGTGAAAGAAGTTTCACTGAGCTACTGATTTGGAGAACTTATTTAATTAACAAAACAGGTTGTGGTTACTGAAAACTGACTGTTTGTCATTTGGATGCTTAGCGTTATATCTTTCATGTTTACGCCCTTGTGATATATTCCTAACACCCAAATTCCAAACAGTGATTTTATTTAGAGATAAAATTACTGTGTTAAATAAAATCTCTGTTGGGGATATATTATTTCTAAAACAAGGCATTTCCATTGCATGTACTGGTACATGAGTTGGGTAATACGGTGACTTTTTATCTGTCAAAAATCCAATCCTGTGGTAAGTGTTCTATATCAGAACCCTGTTATGATGCCAACAAGGCCACCAAAACCAATTTTGCACCTCTCTGAACATTAAGCTTGAAACACTGTGGGACAAGCCAAAGTCAGGGCCAGCTTTGCAAAACCAGTCATTAACTTCCCTGTTATAAATACCAGACTAATATCAATATATATATATATATATATATATATATATATATATATATATATATATATATATATATATATATATATATATATATATATATTTATTTAATTTTACCCATGAAATATGGTGCAATATCAGTCAATATATTTCATATTTTTTAAAAATAAATATGAAATATAAGTATGAAAGTGGGCGGAGTCAAAAACTCATATTTATTTTAAGGGACTTCTTTCGCCGTTTTGTTTGAAAAATCTGATGAATACAAAACAACTTTTTCTTGAATATTGTTTTGAAAACTATCTAGCATGATAGAAAATGGTCTAACTAAGAAAATTAATCCGAACACCAATATCTTTAATTCAGTAATTAACGCTGTACAGACGTTTAAAGAGTTGTTTACATGACGTCACAATGTAGCGCCAAACAGCGCGTGCTTACGCATAAATTACTGCGCGCTGTACAATTGCAGTTGGTAGCAAGCAAGGGGATTCGTTACCGTTTTCTTTGATAATGAAATTAAATAAAAAGGTTATTTTTTCGTTTTTCGTGAAATATGGTATATATTTTCACTCAACATGATAAAATGCCACATATTTTCACTCGCCGTACCGGCTCGTGAAAATATGTGGCATTTTATCATGTTTCGTGAAAATATATTCCGTATTTCACGCAAACGAAAAAATATCCTCTTAATATATATATATATATATATATAGGAAATTAAATAATAAGCAATTAAAATACCCTCAACTGGTGTATATTCAGGGTATTTGGCACATTTGTGAGAAATAATATGGAATAAAAATATAAAACAAATTATACACATACTGTATGCTAACAATTGGTCTTATTCAAGTTAATGTCAGTTTGGGCATAAATAAAATCATGTTTTTTTCATACTTATTCAGGTTATTGAAAATAAACAAGAAACTGCCCATTTTTATGTGATTTGTGATGGTTTGATACATGATACAGATGTAGAAACCTTTTGCGAGAAATATTATTTCACTGTTGAGCAGGTGCGACGAGATTATCCAAGTGTAAACAAAATCTGCGATTTAATATACACCGGGATTTTAGATCAGTCAAGGATATATATCTATTTCTATATTAGTGAAATGTTCATTGTCATTTCTGGCTGGGCGCGCCATTTTTAATGTAAATCAATGATAATTGGCTGGGTATTTCAGGGAATTCCCCAGGAATTTTTTTAAGCGCTACATTTTTTTAATAAGACGGGGGTGGGTGCGGGAGGGGGTCTTGACCCCCATACCACGTGTCGAAAATTTTTGCCATTTAAGGTGTCAAGATACTGCTGTGGGCTGTTTTAAAACAAATAATGAAAGCTTTTCACTTGATAAACATTTTCTTAATTTTTATTATTTACTTTTTCAATTTCCAACAATTCAAATAAATAAACAATTATATATAAACACAAGTTCACAACATGTGATCAACATTTATATGTATGTGTGTGTCCCATTTAAATGAGTATATTTCAGTTGTTTTTTCTTCATTAACATCATTAAAAGTGGGCCTTTCTTCTAGGTTTGTTGTCATTCCATGCCTTGACTGCCTTCTCAAAGTTGAAAGATTCTAATGGGGGTCCTTAAAGGGAGACGGCAAGAAGATAGTTTAGAACTTTAAGAGAGACAATTCCTGTTTTCAGTCTTAACTCTCTTCAGGCAGCTGAATCCTCGCTCAAAATCTGAAATTAATACATAAAAGTAATCATTTATGTTAACCTCATGTCTTTTATTTATATTGTTTGTTTGATTTGAAAATTTAAAACTTCCAGCCTGTTTAAACTTAACTAAGTAAAAAAATTATATTTGAAATGTTGAAAAACTTCTAGCAAAGTGTTACACATCTGCAACTGTCATTTGAATTTCATTAATGTTCAAGAATGAATGAATTTAATAATGCTTACCTGCAGTAGAGGTTGGGAGGAGGATACCTACAGCAGCAATTCTGTAAAGAGCTGGATGACTGGTAGAAAGGTTGCCAGTAATCCAGGTCATGGTCTGGTCGGCTGACTGATCAGTCCCCTCTAGACTGGCGCGTACCTGGTGCCAGTGGCTGCGGCACTGCTCCATATCTACACCAAAGTGCCTGGCCAGCTCCTGTATGTCCTGACAAACCAATGCTAAGGGGTAGGACAGTAGATTGCACTTCACAAAGCTGTCCATGAACAGGCTCGATTAAAGAGGGCCTGCAAAGTTAATATTTTTTTCATTTTGGGGATTCACTGAACAGAAACAGATTACAAGACATTTTTAATTAAAAAAGAAAATGACCAATTGGCTGTCACTAAGTGGGATTGTTGATGTAAAGTTTTTGTTGTTGCTTTCACTCATTTGCAAGTTGATAATGAACAGTCGTAAATGTTTTCAATGTTAAAGTAGCCATCAACCAAATTTATTTCTGAATATCTATGCAGTTTAATCAAAGATTAAAAAAAGCAAAAAAAAGCGAAATGATCCTGAGACAGTTTCAACAACATTGCTCACAAAAAAAAAACTCTTAAACTTGATAGTGAACTTGGCTTCCCTTATTCATGTTAGACATATTATTTTTTGAAATCTTAATACTATTACAACAGTACTGCTTAGACGTAACGATCATAAGAAAGTGATAGATGAAATTGAACATTAGTATATCAAGACAATTAACCCATTCATCCCAAAATATCAAACTGTTATATCGCATGTCAATTAATGCCAATTATATTATCAAAGCAATAAAAGTTATTACACCTACCTGAAACATGTAAATATCACACATGCCGCGGTTAAATTGCACCCATCTCAATACACGGTAATTGACAACACATGAAAGTGCACCAACAGTCGTCTGCAGAAATCGATGACAGGTGTCTGTGACGTCACACAGTCTAAAGGCAATCAGTGTATCGGGTTGTGTATACGCCTCGGGTAATTATCTACACAGGACATGTATATTGGCTTGTTTATTTGGCTAATTGGGGTTAACTTATAGACACAAAAGAAAGGGATATCGGTCATTTTTTAAAGCGCTATGATAATTTTAAGCGCATCGGGATTTCTTGTTCTGAAATTTTAGCGCATCGGTGCCGATGCGCTAAAAGCGCCTGGGGAATTCCCTGTATTTTGAAAACAGAACTAAAGAATAATCGTCGAGGAATTCTGATTGAAATTGGATGCAGTGCATGAAATACCGAATGACACCTTAAAAACGAAAAATAATTAATTAACAAAAGTTTGTTTATATCTGACTTCCCCGTTCATAGGCTCTGCCTACTTTCATACGGGGAAGTCAAAGTCTTTGTCTTGCCCGGCTTTAGACTACACGCATATATTTAAAAGAAAATCAAATAAAAACCAATTAAAAATTAAATAGAATTTTATACTTATCAATTAAATTTTCTGTGTCAGTTCTAGTTAGGCGCCACCATTTACAATATAACTCAATGATAAAAGACGGTGTATTCCCATAACAGAACAAATCTCAACTTTTCGGAAAAATAACAAACGTCGAGGGTTCCGGGTGAAAACGGAAGCGATGCATGAAATATAATATAATTTCACAGCCATGTATGCCATTTGTAAATGAATGCTCCAGATAGAGGTTATGTACAAAGTAAGGTCAATTTTTTTTTTTCAGGAATACTTATTGTCAAATATACTCTTTGTCAAATCTATGCTTTTTTGGAGCCATTATTAGGTCAGATTTAATTTGCAATTTAAAAAAAAAACAATAAACTTCTATTCTATAACTCATAATTCCTTTGATCTTTTTATCAACAACAATAAAATTATATGATTGCAAACTTACCGTAAAGTCGTCCATTTCATAACCAAGCTGTTGATATGATTGGCGATAATCTTAAGATGCCACTAGTTATTGTTTCATATCGAATATAAAGACCAATTATCCAGTGCACATTCAACAATTCACACCAATTAGTGTCATATTTATCAGCTGATAAACATGTAAACATACCACGAGGTCAGTGTATTAGACTGTGTTACTGTTTATAACGATATTTTATTTGGAAGGGAAGTAACAAATATTGACCAGTCAATGACCCCACAAAAAGCAGACTGTGTCGCAGTGTCGCAGTGTTTTGTGCTAAGAAGCTGTAAAGCGGAAGTTGTAAATGGAAAACCAAATGTGTACTTTTCCATTCTTAAAATAGCAAATGCTAAATTTAGACTGGATATTCCAAAAGTTATACTTTTCGTAAGTTGGAGCCAATCATGATTTTCTTGAGCCAATTTAATAATTTTGGAGCCAATTTGCTCATTGGCTCCTGCCAGCGCGAGCCCTGCCGAATGACACCTTTAAAACAGAAAAAATGAATTTTTAACGACTTCCCCGCATCGTATACACACCGGTCAGTAAGACCGGTGTACACATTGGACTTCCCCGTTCAAAGGGTTTGCCTAATTTCATTTTATTATTTATTTGACCGTTATAATCATTGTGTTACAGATATAGAAAATTTCAACAAGGAAATAGAAAATCAGTCTCACCTTTGGCAAAATCTAGTTGGACATTTTCTTCTCCACTGCCATGTCTCCCTGAAAAAAATAAACATATTACGAATATCTTAAAAAATAGAATATTTCTTATTGTAAATACATGTATGATTAATGAACCTGTTGCCGTTACCTCTGAATCTTCCACTGCGAAATCTCTGTCCGCTGTGCTGGCGGACCATAGCCATCTTCGGCTAAATACGACAGTTGTTTTTCGGCTTGTCGTTAATATGTCTGGGATGCAATATTTCATAAGTATAAGAAAATTTACCAATGTTACAATGTCAAGCTAACTATATGATTGATTTGAAATACATGAAATCTTTTTAAAACCTTAATTAAAGAATCTCGTGTTAAATTACGACATTAGTACGACTACTTTGAGACTTGTAAACATGTCAAACGCGGAAGTAATCGAGCCCAACTTTGTCAAAATTGTAGATAATCTGCCAGGTGCTGAAGGACCTGTGTTCGACAGACATGGAGAGTTTTTTATGGTTGCACCAGAAAGGGAAGATGAAGATAAAAAACCAGCTGGAGATGTCTTGAAAATAAATTTAGAAAGCGGAAAGGTAGAGATCATGTGATGCCGGTGATAACGATTCGCCCCAAAATGATTCAACCCACTTTTTCAAAATCATTTGAAACGTACTTGAAATCATTAACAGTAACTAAAGATTTAATAAAAGCTATGTTTTGCTATTTATGTGAAAAAACCCTTTTTTCAGAAAAGAAAATTGTTAGTTTTACTTTTGAAAGTATTTGACCTAGAACTTTACAGAAAAGTTGATCAACTTGTGAACTGGTAAGTTGTGCACCTGATGTTTAGTGTTTGGATTTATTCATTATTTGTCCTTTACTTTGTTACAATTTGCAATTTTCAAATTTTGTCGTGCATAGCCCAAAAAGTATTTGATCTAGAGACATGAAACTAAACGGAAATGTTTATCAGCATATGAAGTTGTGCACTTGGGGTTTTTCATGTGGATTTATTCATTATTTAAAGAATTATTGCTCTTGACTTGGTAGAAAATTCAGTATTTATAGAGTTATTGCTCTTAACTTAGTAAATATTTGCAATTTTCAACTTGTGTTTGTGTGGGGTGAATCATGACATAAGTGGGAAAAATCACCTCTAAAGTGGGATGAGTCATTATGGGACAATAGTAAGTTGGGCAAAATGATTATATCACCACAATTAACCTTAAAGCAACTCTTTCTTAGTTTAATTGCCAGTATTTTGTTTCGGTAGGGGTGAACTGGTACTTGTTAATTGACATTTGAAAGACCATCATTTACTGTAACCACTGAGTATTTAATATGAGTATAAGCAAGTAAATAACCTTAAAAACTAATTTCTTCAAATGAATTTATTGGTATCATGAAATATTTACTGTAATAATAAATTGAATGATTTGCAAAATTGATGTAACAATCGGAATCCTATATATTTCCAGATGTTTAGAGAAGGCAGTTCACAACATACAATGCAAGGCTGTACATGTATTAATATAATGACTGTACTCTAAATTATGTTGAAAAAAATACTATCTGGATTTTTGTTACAGGTAGATGTTGTATGCTCGCCAAAGGATGGAGACAATGGTGGTATACCTGCTGGATGTCAGTGTGACCTTGATAACAACATCTGGATTGCTGATATGAGACTTGGCATTCTCAAGATGGAAACATCAGGAAAATACCAGCAGGTGACTTTATAGTCTATTGAGATTTCTATTAATAATTAGTGATAAGTCTTTTCACAGTTTATTTATTGTTGCCACTGGATTCTCTTATGATAATCTCAGAGCAACAGATAAGGTGCATATTTGCGTATTTACGCAATTAATTTTATAAAATACGCAATTGATTTTTTAAGAATGCGTATCAAAACCCATTAAAAAAAATAAAATACGCAATTGTCTTAAAAACCCGTGCGTATTGTCATTTTTATCACCGCAAAATTAATCTGTCGTACACTCGTAGTTTTGGACAAATTATATGGATATGCATGATATCCGAATATTCCCGAATCAATGCTAACTAATCAACGGTCTCCGGTCTTCGACGGTCCCCGGTCTCCAAAGACAGACTAAGCATGAGACCGTCGATTTGTCTACTCAGGTTGACGGTCTTTACAGACCGGCAGAGACCGTTGATTTTGCGGAGACAGTCAATAGGTAGGTCCCAGCTGTATCAATAGACGCTTTGAAAAGCAATATGGCGTCGTACAAAGTGAAAATGATTTGAAACAAAACAGTCGCAAATAATAAAAAAACTTGTTAAAAATATTATGAAATTTAACATGAGCATTTTATATAAAAAATAAAACAATTGTGAAAAGTTCTATCCTATTTTCTTTTTAAAACAGTTAAGATATCTAAATTTAATTTTATTGATATTGAAACCATAAAATTCATATCTTCATAATTGAATACCCAATTGATCTTGAAATCATAGGGTATCAAGTTTTGGAATACCCAATTAAATGGAGCCAATACCCAATTCCGAAGGAAATGATGGAGTAATACCCAATTCACTTTTAAAGCTTATCTGTTGCTCTGTAATCTCCACTGGATTCTCTTTTGGTCATCTCCACTGGATTCTCTAATGGTCATCCCCACTGGATTCCATTACGGTCATTTTCCCTGGATTCCCTAATGGTGATCTCCACTGGATTTCCTTATGGTCTTCTCCACTTAATCGATTATGATCATATCCAATGGATTCCCTTATGGTCATCTCCACTGGATTCCCTTATGATCATCTCCACTGGATTCATTAATGGTGATCTCTGGATTTCATTACAATCATCTCCAATGGCTTCCATTATGGTCATCTTCACTGGATTCCCTTATGTTCATGTCCACTGGATTTCCTTATGATCATCTCCACTTTATTCCCTTATGGTCATCTCCACTGGATTCCCTTTTGATCATCTGCACTGGATTCTATAACAGTCATCTCCTCTTGATTCCATTACAATCATCTCCACTGGATTCCGTTATGGTCATCTTCACTGGATTCCCTTATAATCATCTCCACTGGAATCTCTTATGGTCATCTCCAATGGATTTTCTATGGTCATCACCACTGGATTCCCTTCATGGTCATATCCACTTTATTTCCTTATGATCATATCCAATGGATTCCATTATGGTTATCTCCACTGGATTTCTTTATGGTTATATCCACTGGATTACATTATGGTTTTTCTCCACTTTCCTATGGTCATCTCCACTGGATTCTCTTATGGTTATCTCCACTGGATTTCCTTATGGTCATCTCCACTAGATTTCCTTATGGTCATCTCCACTTGATTTATTATGATCTTATCCTCTTGATTCCATTATGATAATCTCAACTGGATTCCCTTATGGTCATATCCAGTGGATTTCCTTATGGTCATCTCCACTGGATTCACTTATGGTCATCTTCACTTGATTACCTTATGGTTATCTCCACTGGATTCTCTTATGGTCATCTTCACTTGATTTTCTTTTGGTTATCTCCACTGGATTCTCTTATGGTCATCTCCACTGGATTCTCTTATGGTCATCTCCACTGGATTCTCTTACAATTATCTCCACTGGATTCCCTTATGGTCATCTCCACTTGATTCCTTTATGGTCATCTCCACTTGATTTTCTTTTGGTTATCTCTACTGGATTCCTTTATGGTCATCTCCACTGGATTCTCTTATGGTCATCTCCACTAGATTCTCTTACAGTTATCTCCACTGGATTTCCTTATGGTTATCTCCACTGGATTCCATGACAGTCATCTGCACTGGATTCCCTTATGGTCATCTCCACTGGATTCTCTTATGGTCATCTTCACTTGATTTCTTTATGGTTATCTCCACTTGATTTCCTTTTGGTTATCTCTACTGGATTCGCTTATGGTCTTCTTCACTGGATTCTGTTATGGTAATCCCCACTGGATTCTCTTATGGTTATCTCCTTTGGATTTCCTTATTGTTATCTCCACTGGATTCCATGACAGTCATCTGCACTGGATTCCCTTATGGTCATCTCCACCAGATTTTCTTATGGTCTCCTCTCATTTGATCTTCTCCAGAGTAGTGTACTTAGAATAATTTGAAGAATATCAGTTCTCCAGTCCATATGTAAGAATGTGTTCTTTAGCTTGCAATAAAACAAACATCTTTGCAACAGACTTTAGTTTGATAGAGAATAAAGCAATGGAGTACTATAATAGAAAATGAATGTCTAGTCAGGATCAGGGACAATCTATTACAAAGTTTAAAAACTCAGGTTTGTGTATTTTGCTTTCCCTTTCTTTGAAAATGATTATGGAAAGTATAGGTGAACACTCAAATTATCTTAATACATGTCGTAGATCCTTTAAGGTGAACAGCATTTTTTTTAGCTCAACTATTAACAGTACTCAGAGGTGGGCTTTTGTGATGGCATTTTATCCACAATTTCTTTAAATAACATCTCCTAAACCACCTACAAAAGTTCTACAAAAGTACCAAGTCAGATGCAAAACCAGGTAAATGAAATCTTTACTAGTGAACATTATGTAACAATTTTGTGTGTATTTTCAGATGTTTAGACAAGACAGTTCAAATCGTTCAATGCAAGGTTGTAATGACTGCGCATTTGATTATGATGGTAATTTATGGGTGACGGCTCCAGCTGGAGAGATAGCACCTGCAGAGTACAAACGATCTTTTGAGGTAATTTCATTAACTTACAATCATATAGAGCTATTGATTTATCATTGATTTTCAACAATCGCCAAAATATAACAAATTACGATATTAATAATTTTTTTGTTATTTTTTCTCAATGAGTATTCAACCTTACCATGAAAAAGGAGGAAAAGTGACTTCTCCATTCAGACAAAATAGAGTTATTTTCATAAGAGAGGGAGAAAAGGGTTTCAAATTGTATCGATTTCTAAATATAATTATCATAATATTATATTGTGTCATCACCAACAGCATAGAGGTTATATGTAAACTTTCCAGCTCTACTGATGGGGTAAGACCTCTAATGCCCTTATGTACATTTTTTTAGGGAAGGGAATTCACCTGTGTAGAACCTCCATAAAACACTGATCATTCTAAAGCTAGGAAAAAACTTGAAGATGTCATTTTGTTGATACTTTCAGGAAGGTTTTGGTTCTGTGTATTGTCTTACCAAAGATAAGAAGCTTGTGAGAATAGATGGTAATTTAAGGTTTCCTAATGGAATAGCTGTCCTACATACAGATGATGGTAGGCCCAGTAAATTAATTGTTGCCGAGACACCTACCAAATTACTGTGGCAATATGATATTAAAGGTGCTGGGGAAGTTGGCGAGAGATCAGTTTGGGGAAAACTTCCAGGTATGTTGTCTTTTATTCAAGATAAAGACAATTTTGTGTGTGCTTCTTCTCCAAAACTGCTCAACCAATTGTAATAAAAGTAGACTGGAGTAATATGTAAGGTCTATGTATGCATATAGTAAGGAATTTGAATGACTTCACCTTTAGGGTCAAATCCTTGAAATTTGCAAAAATTAGCTGTACTTTTGTAATTAATGGATGGAGATAAGAACCCTTTGGAAAAAAACTTTGAAGCAGGTATAATTTAATTTGACAATCACCTTTGTATGACCTTGACTTTGTTTCCCTTTAAAAATTTTCATTGGTCCAAGGTTTTCATGTGACCAATGAAAATACTCCATTTGAAAACAATCTGCTGCACCATTTTACTTTCATTTTGGATTGAGAATTTGGTATATAGGAAAAAAGGTGCGTTATAGTTTCATATGATGCTTTGATCGAACAATTATTACAAATAATAATTTAATTTTATCATATTTAAATACGCAATACAAAGAAATATTCATTCACTGTGAATTTAGTGTGTTTTACTCGTGAGAGTTATACCGAAACAGTGCAATCAGATCTCTTCCGAGTTTCATTTGTTGACAGTTTGGGCTTGAATATTACTTGCTACGTATAATCAGCGAAGGTGCCAGTGTTGTTTTCTTAAAGAGTATTTATTTATTTGACACCAAGATTGTTAAGATTAGTGAAAAATTGATGAATATATGTGCTGATTAATGAGATGCTAGCGATATTTCTATGCAAAATGAAAGTAGAGTAAAATACCTTTATAATCAAAATTTTTTGTTATAGTCATAAAAAATTTGTTTTATACCCCCGCACAACAAAGTTGTAAGGGGGGTATACTGGAATCAGCTTGTCCGTCCGGCTGTCCGTCCGTCTGTCGGTTTTTTCTTGTCCGCCCAATAACTTAAGATTCCTTTGACCCTTAGTCTTCATATTTGGCATGGAGGTTAGTCATGATTAGTAGATGACCCCTATTGATTTTGAGGTCACTAGGTCAAAGGTCAAGGTCACAGGGGCCTTGACTTCAAACAGCTTGTCCGCCTAATAACTTAAGATTCCTTTGATCCACAGTCTTCATATTTGGCATGGAGGTTAGTCATGACTAGTAAATGACCCCTATTGATTTTGAGGTCACTGGGTCAAAGGTCAAGGTCACAGGGGCTTTGACTACAAAAAGCTTGTCCGCCCAATAACTTAATATTCCTTTGACCCACAGTCTTCATATTTGGCATGGAGGTTAGTCATGATTAGAAGATGACCCCTATTGATTTTGAGGTCACTGGGTCAAAGGTCAAGGTCACAGGGACTTTGACTTCAAAAGGTTTGTCCGCCCAATAACTTAAGAAACTTTTGACCCACAGTTTTCATATTTGGGATGGAGGTTAGTCATGATTAGTAGATGACCCCTATTGATTTTGATGTCACTAGGTCAAAGGTCAAGGTCACAGGGGCCTTGACTTCAAAAAGCTTGTCCGCCCAATAACTTAAGATTCCTTTGACCCTTAGTCTTCACATTTGGCATGGAGGTTAGTCATGATTAGTAGATGACCCCTATTGATTTTGAGGTCACCAGGTCAAAGGTCAAGGTCACAGGGGCCTTGACTTCAAAAAGCTTGTCCGCCCAATAACTTAAGATTCCTTTGACCTACAGTCGTCATATTTGGCATGGAGGTTAGTCATGATTAGTAGATGACCCCTATTGATTTTGAGGTCACCAGGTCAAAGGTCACAGGGACTTTGACTTCAAAAACTTTGTCTGCCCAATAACTTTAGATTCCTTTGACCCACAGTCTTCATATTTGACATGGATGTTGATCATGATTAGTAGATGACCCCTTTTGATTTTGAGGTCACTGGATCAAAGGTCAAGGTCATAGGGACTTTGACTTCAAAAAGTTTGTCCACCCATTAACTTAAGATTCCTTTGACCCACAGTCTTCATATTTGGTATGGATGTTGATCATGACTATAAGGTGACCCCTATTGATTTTGAGGTCACTGGGTCAAAGGTCAAGGTCACAGGGACCTTGACAAAAAAAAGCTTTTCTTCTCAATTGCTAAAGAATGTCCTGTCCGCAATGTATTGATTTTGACATTTTCACATTTGAAGCATGTAGAATACATAACTTAGCAATGCACTGGCTTAGTAACCTCAGATTTGGCAGGGAGGTTGTCCTTGAGCTCTAAATGGCCACTGTTGATTCTGACAAAGTGGTATGCGGGGGTATTCACGCCATGATAGTGGCAGTTCTAGTTTCATAAAATTTATTCTTGTCAATACTTATGATGTTTGGATGATGTTTAAGGGTTTTGGGTTGTAGAGGGGGAACGGGGGTATAGTGTATTTGCTTTGTATATAACAGTTAAGTTGACTATCAAGGTCAAATTATTTAATTTTGGTTATGGAAAGGCAATTACTTTATTTGATATACTGGTTGGGGAGATAACTCCTACACAAAATCGCAAATTTTTTGCAATATCTCAATTATCTTTCTGTATATTTGAAATAATGAACCACCAAAACAAAGCTCAGTTCAAAGACTTTACGTTACACTACAAAAATTATGTATGAAAATGGAAACTGGTACTTCTAAAAGGTCCTGAAAGAGGTATACATGTACAAAACATGGTCTTTTTACCCCACAACAGTAGATAAAGTCAACACTTAAATTTTTTAGTAAAAAATGACAGGAAAATCAGCATCAATAATTTATTTTTACATCTTATATGTTTTATCTATTTTTTGTTGATATAAAAACAATTTTTCAAAACTCTTTCCCAAGTCAGTGGCCTGTGGTCAATACAATGCTAACCACCTTATTGTAATTGTGTAAAAAGAACGTTTTGAAGCAGTATTTGCCGACAAAAAGTTTAGGTTATTTGAAATATATTAAAAAGTTTACCAACTTAAAAAAAAATCATCACATTCTGTCCTGCTCCTATACTACTAGGTGACCATATGCTTGTTGGTTGAAAAACAAAATTTTAACAATTATATTGATCAAGTGTCGGGGTTATCTATGCGTCGGAGTTATCTCTCTGACCAGTAGACTGATTTGATTACTACTTCTAAAAAAGTAAGACTTATGACACGTTGAAGGATTCAAGTATTACTCAAACTTGACTTTAAAATGACCTTGACCTTAAAAGTCAAATCATTAAATATTTGCTAAAAACTGCAATAACTTCAATTCATGAAATGATTTGATTCATACTTAGATTAACAACACCTTTAACAAAATGGTCAAGTGAGGAAATTACCATAAAGATTTACCAAAACTTTATTATTTGACAGATTTGATTCATACTGGACAAAACAAGACTAATGATAAAACTATCATGTGCAGTGATTCCAATATGGCCTTGACCTTTAAAAGGTCTTTTAAAGTCATAGTTAATGTGAAAATTGATTTAAATTTGATAGAATTTTGTATTTAAAACACAGGTTTGATTTATATCTGGACACAAGGACATGTACGGTTGTGAAATACTATATAAATATTGATATTAAAAACCGATTCGCAATTTCTGCTAATGATAGCATGTGGTTGTAATTTATGTTATGACTTTTGTTTGCAGGGGATCATGAAGGAGGACCAGATGGTATGGACTTTGATGAACACAACAATCTTATTGTAGCTAATTGGGGTGGCGGCCATCTTGAAGTGTTTTCCCCAGGTGGGGGAGACCCTGTTACCAGAATCAAATGCCCATTCCGTAATCCTAGTAATGTTCATTTTAAACCAGGTACCAGTACAGTGTTTGTGACTGAACACCAATTTCATGGGCTTTGGAAATTTGAATGGAAAAATAAGGGCAAGAAACAATACTGTGAAACCAAATAATGGAAATATATGTACATACAAGGCTTCATATTCTAGTCTAGGTTGTGATTTTTCTGTGATTAAATTATTAGATAATTTTTAAAGTGATTTATTAACAAATTTTGTTACTTACATATTTATAGTATTTTCCTCAAAGGAATGAAATAAAACTTGTTTATTTTAACTTATATACATGTAAAAAGAGCTGGTCCTAGCACCTTAAACTAATTTAAAATGTTTAATTACTAGATTATTTGAGCAGGGACAAACATTTGGATTGTTGCCGATGCCTTTTTGATAGCCTTTGCAAGTTTTGACTACAACAAATCACCTCCAGTTAACAGTGTAAGAATACAAGAAGCAAGAATGAAATTGGAATGTAATTAAAAAGTCCCAATTTTGTTAATTCATCTTGTATTAGACAAAAATAAAAATAGATTTTAGTAACTTGTTATATCTAAATATGTGAATAAATTACTTAGTGCTAGTGTATATTAAAATCTGACTTGTATTCATGACAAAATCTATACACAAACCTTGTTTTTAGAGGTCATTTGTCTTAGCAGTACATGTACTCGTATATTGAAACACCTATATGTAACAAGTAAATGCAAGTTAAGATTGTTTTTTTTTTTTTGATAAATCAAAAATTTGGTGCTAGTTTTTATTATATTGATTAATTTGACCCACTGTCTTATCACTTTAATGAAATTGTCAAACAATTTATATATGTTGGTGATGGTGTGACATCAACCTAGGTGTTGTTTTTTTTGCAAATGTTAAATAAATGTAGTACCGGTATGTATGTAAATAGTATTTTCAAAATTTAGGCATTGGTATGAAATGTTGATCTCTAATTATATGTGTATGTGTACATGTATATGTTTGTTGACCCATAACCAGTTTGACACCATTCAAGGCTTTATAATGTTGACAGCAATATTTCTGTAATTTGCTAGTGAAATCCTTAGTTTCAAAATAACAGCAGAGCAAATCCATGACATAATTTCAGCAGATAGTTGTTTTTAGTAGGCTTTTTACCATTCATGACAATATACATGTGTATATGTAAATAAATATGTAGAGGGAGAGGTTTATTATTTCTTACCCATATGTCTGTATCCCCCTCTCAACATCACACCTTGGTCAAGATTTTTATGCTACCAAACCTTGAAACCTCGAGTATGCGGTACATGTTTATTGTCATCACCATCACTGGAAGGCTGTGAGTTTGGCGGTTACATTAATCTATAATGATCACCTATCTAATTAAGTGGTATAAATTACAACATATATATACATTAATCAATAAATTGCTGCAGATAGGGGGAATTGACAGGGAATTAAAAGTTGTCTAAATCCTAGAATTAGCATTTATAATAAATTAACAATTTTACTTTCTGTGACTCAGGGACCATTAAGGGATGACCACATCCTTCTGTAAATAGTTCTTTGTACATTTTACCTATTGAATGTTCCTACAGAGAAATGACAGTTATCCAGTCATGTAGGTATGGAGTAATAAAGTTCAGCACTTACATTTAGTAATAAATTCCATAAAATACACTGTACAGCTATTGGGTAAACCTACTGTAAATATAAAATTATATTTCATTTTTTTTCTTGCAAGTTCATGTTATTTACCTCATAGACTACCTTTTGACATGGTACATCTGTATTTGATACATGTATATTTTATTATTATGAATTCAATCATATTTTGTTTTATCAACCTTATTAGTATACATAGAATTATTCTAATGACAGAAAATTCTAAGTAGTCTTTTTTAGATAGAAATGATCTATTTTTACAGGGATCACTACAGAAACTTATTTTTTCTAGATGTTTATTTGATTATACACTAGTAAATTTTGGTATTATGATATATATTTGGAATGGAGTAGAATAGAATAAAACAGTTTTAAAATACTCAATCCTTGTTTGGTTTCCTTTGACATTTTTGTGTCGCCTTGAAAAAGTCATCATAATGGGGTTACTTTTGTCGGCGGCGGCGGGTTGTCTGGAGCATAACTGAGTCACTATAGGTCATTTGACTCCAAACTTGGTATCTATGCTTCTTTCAATGACCAGAATGTAGTGCAAAAGAATCGATACCTTGCACTTATGTTTTCAGTTATTGCCCTTTGTTAATTTTAATACTTCATTTTTGTCAGGGCCATTTCTCCTAAACTATAAAAAGTCTGGACTTGAAACTTCATAGTTTGATAGATCTCATTGAGAAGAAGTGCAGTGCACAGAAACAGGTACTCTGTTCCTCATGATTTTTTAGTTATTGCCCTTTGATAATTTTCATAATTTATTTTTGTCTGGGCCATTTCTCCTAAACTATAAAAGCTATGGACTTGAAACTTCATAGGATGATAGATCTCATTGAGAAGTGTACTACAAAGGAAACGGAACTATGTACTTTATAATTTTTATGCCCCCACAAAGTGGAGAGCATGTCCCGAAATCTTGTGAACGCAACTCCTCTTAAACCAGATGGCAGATTTCGCTTAAACTTCAAGGGATGAACAACCTTAATGTGTAGATGGTAGTAAAGGAAGGAATTTATGCTGCGACCAAATTTAACAGAAATATGGCCATTTGTTGATTTTTTCACTATATACCATATAGAAATTTTGTGAACGCAACTCCTCTTAAATCGGATTGCAGATTTTGCTTAAACTTCCTGGGATGAACAACCTTAATGTGTAGATGAAAGTGAAGGAAGGAATTTTTGCTGCGACCAAATTTAACAGAATTATGGCCCGTTGTTGATTTTTTCACTATATACCATATAGAAATTTTGTGAACACAACTCCTCTTAAACCAGATGGCAGATTTTAATAAAAAGTTCCACATAAAAATCTTACATACAGATATGCATGCTCTTGTTTACGAGCACATCTGCACAGTGGGGGCATCCATGTCCTTAGGACACAGTTCTAGTTTATCGCCGGTCACTATAATTTTGATTGACTCCAAATTTGATATGCCAGCTTTTTTCATTGACCTGAAGTGCAGGGCACAAAAATCCATCACAGAGTCCTCCATTTGATCTGTCAGAGTAAAACTTTTCCATGGTATTTTTATTTTTTATAATATAACAGTTTTATTAATCCTGATGTAACATTGTTACAATCAGTTCTGCCACTAAAGTAAAGATACATTACTGTGCAAGAGCAGTGCTAAAAAATATTTTAAGAAGAAAATAACTGACATCTATACTATAGTACTGTTGACAAGGCAACACATCCGATTTAAGAAGTTCTAGGTTATAATTATAAACAAGTAATAACAGCATTAATTTTTTTAAATTAAAAAAACCCAAAACATTTGTCTACTTCCTGCTATCAAGAGATTTCTTTATTGGATGGAACTACCACTAGTTTAGAAGTACACACTAACCATGAATGGTGAATTAATGCCACTTTCCTTGTACTTAAGAAATCATTCAGTTCCGATATGTTTTTAGTATTAAAGATTGAAGCTGTTTCACCCTCTTAAGAGTTAGACTGGAGGAGAGATATTTGTTTCATATAAAGATTCAAACAATTGAGATTTTCACTAATTTCTTTTAATTGCACTTTAGGGATCTCCCCTTTCCAGAATGTCAGCCTTGTGTCCTTGATCTGGTATGATGTTAGATGACCCTTGCGATTGTATAGTTGATAGGCCAAAGATTTCTATGACCATAAAAAAAACTTATCTTTATTTATGTTCTCTGTCTTACTGTACGTTAAATACAAATACTTATTTTACATAGGGCTTTTAATTGGTTGGATCCATTTATCACATAAAAATGGTTTCCAACAAAAGAGCAATACATGTTTTTGAGGTGCTTGTTCGTAGAAAATGAAGCATCAGGTTTCAGTGATTAAATTGTATTTATACATGTAGTTATCAATAACAAAGTTCAGTTGAATAATAAAATAACTGATTCAAATATTAAATTGTCACTTCAATATTTGATGAATTAATAAGTTAAACAATTTATTAACCGAAATGAAAATTCAAGGAATTCATTGCATTATTTAAAGATCTATCTTAGTTCTTTACAGGTTTACTACAATGTGACTTTATGTCTCATAGTCGAGCTTCTTGTTCCCCTGCTTGATTTTACATGTTCTCAAGTAATACAACGGGATGTAAAAAAGAATTAGGTACTGAGTCTGAAACACACTATTCAGCGACTGTATTGAATTACATGTACATGTTGACACATCAGATAATAGAGCCATTTTCAGATATTTGAGACAAATTTAACTTATGATAAACCTTTAATACTTTTCTGCAGTATAAAGTCACAATATGTTTGTATTATAGTCAATTTCATGTAATATAATCAATCTTTAAGGCAGAAACAAATAATGACACAGGCAATATTAATTCAGTGTATTGTTTCATTATATTAACATATAAAAATGTTAACAAGGTCTGTATGTTTTTTTTGAATAATTTATTCATCTTATCAATAACCTTGTGAAGTTACAAAAAACAACCCTCAACACAGAGAAATCCCAGCTTAGAATATTTCATCAAAACAATTAGAATCCCTGCAATTATGATAAATCTACACTATAACAAGTCCTGCAAAAATGTAGGCATTTTTTCATATTCTTTCTTTCACATTATCTTTGGTCATGGGATTTCTCACCAAAATAAGTTCAGTTCTAGCACATCAGAAAATAAAAATCTATAATGTTTTGTTGTTCTATGCCATAGCTTTACTGATTTCTTCTAAACAATCAAGAGCGATTTGTGCCTCAGCCTTTTCCTCGTCATTTTTAGCCGAGCTCAATGCAGTGTTGGCATTTGAAATGCTGCTTGCAACAGCCTGCAAAGAAAAAATAAAGGTATAATAATATCACTTATTTATGCAGCTGAATTATGTTTACATCTGTTAAAGTTTCACCCTAGTTTTTTCTTAGAAATCGATCGTATGATATATAAATCCTGCGAGGCAAATGTTTCTAGATTTTCCACATTGAAGTTACTTGCTACTCTTTTGAACTTATTATTTCTTGCTACTCTTTTGAACTTATAAATAATTTAAACAAACATTACACTAAGAATGTTTATTTAATTATATAGAAAAATGCTGGGAACATCTATGCTAAAAAGGTCTAAGTGAACACCCTGTTAGATATTTGCCATGAAACTTCTTCAAGTGAGTCTTTACCATGTTTGGTCAAATAAAAGCCCTGGGGTCAAAATTGCTTAATATCTAAGATCCAGCTCTTTTGGTTTTTAAAAAAAAGATTTTTTAAATTTTTACTATATACATATAGGGAAATAATGCCCTACCCCTGGGTGGGGCCAATTTTAACCCAAGGGCTTTAGAGCTTTTATTTGAACAAACTTGGTAGACACCCATTAGGAGATGTTTCATGCTAAATATCTAAGCTTTAGCTCTTTGGATTTTTTTAAAAGAAGATTTTTAAAGTTTTTACTATATACATATAGGGAAAACAATGACCCCAGGGCTTTTATTTGAACAAACTTGGTAGACACCCACTAGAAGATGTTTCATGCTAAATATCTAAGCTCTACCTCTTTGGGTTTTTTTAAAAGAAGATTTTTTAAGTTTTAATATATGCATACATGGAAAAACAATGACCCCCTGGGGCGGGATCAATTTTGACCCAAGGGCTTTTATTTGAACAAACATGGTAGAGACTCGCTAGAAGATGTTTCATGCCAAATATCTATTTCTAAGCTCTAGCTCTTTGGGTTTTTTTAAAGGAGATATTTTAAGTTTTTTCTTTTGGTTGCCATGGCAACCAGAGTTCTGCATGAAATTAAATTCTTTGAACAATTTTTAAAGATGACTACCAAAGGAACATTCCTGTGAAGTTTTGGTGAAATTGGCTTAGCGGTTTACAAGGAGCTGTCGTATAAAATGAATGTTTCGGAAGTGGGACGGAAGACGCCGGACGAAAAGAGATCACAAAAGCTCACCATGTCACTTTGTGATAGGTGAGCTAATAAGTAAATGTCATTTGAGAAATTGTAAATTTAACAGAAAGATGTGAAAGGAAGGAAATGGAGCTAAGGTCAATGAAAATAATCAGTGAGAATAGAAAAGATCAATACAGAAAACAAATGTTTCAATACCTTTGAATCAAATGAATCCAATGGGTAAGCTTCCTCTGCTAGAATTTGCACAGTGGAATCATTGTTAACAGTAACTGTTCCACTGGAAACTGAAACAAATCAATTGTTAACTTCTGTTTATCAATTAGTCCCATAATAAGAATACTATTTAACGTATGTAAAAGCAAAGTACATAAACAGTCATGAAACTGTAATTTTATAAATCATATTTTTAATATATAAATATTTTACATTAATAGATTGCATACAACACAAAACAATGTAGAATGTCTTATGACTGTTTTTAGAGCAAGGATATCATTTGAAATCATGAATCATGGCTGTTCCCCAACTATACAGAAGAACAAGAATCTAGGGAGTACCTTGTCTTGGTAGTAAATTTGATGAATTCAGTTCAGTAGATGCTGACAAAACAATTTCAGGTGAAAGATGGTTGAATGGTATAATTTTATAAAAGATATGGCTGAAAAATCATAAACAATGTAATGAGTAGAAGAATCTAACACAGAATGAACCTCATCATGTCAACTTTTACACCAACACAAAACTCTTACTGTCAAGTGAGTGAGAGAGAACAAAGCAGTGGCTGCATTTATTTATGCTTCCCCCAGTATAACAAAATATTAAGAGTAATAATATATTATTATTTCACATACCAAATACTTTCTGAGAATCATTATCTTGAAACACTGTAACTACTCCAGGTTTCAGTGCAGCTATCATAGGTACATGCCTCGCTAGAATACCAACTGATCCACCTAGGGTTGATAAATCCACTTGCTGAACAACATCTCCATTGTAATATACCTGTTGAGAAAATAATTAGAATTTGCAATAAACAAAGAAGTGATATTAAAAGAGGGAGATTTCTTTAATTTGTGAAAATATACTCGAACTCTGTATTATCGGCGCAACTCTATTACCGTCATACTCTCAGTATTTGTCATGTGGGGTCATGCATTCAGTGAAGTTAAAAATCTTTGACCTCATTCAATTAAAGATGTAATGATTAGTTGAATTTATACTGCTTTACACAGAATATTGATTATTAAATTCATCAATGATATTCAATGGAGACATGTACAGGAAAAGATAAGTATGCCGATAATACGGAGTCCCATGCTACCCCTTATTTCAAGAAAAATCTTTGAAAATATGGCTGCAGAAAGTTGAAGTCTCCCGCTAAATGTGGGAGAGTTCACATGTATGGGAATATCTTGTTTGCCATTTTTGTTAAATGTTTATCAGAGTTGTTATTACTTTCCGCTTAATAGACAAAGGTGGCGCATAATTTCATATTATTTCTTTACTAATAGGAAGTGGCTAGCTGTACAGCTAGCCAAAAGTTCTAGCCGTACGCAAGTCACATACGGCTAGCCTGGACACACTGTATTATATTGCACTTTTCAAAATTATATGAAAGTGGACAATGCATATGTTTTTTATGTCTTGTTTTGTTTGTTTGTTCTATTTTACGCCTTTTTCCAACAGTATTTCAGTCATATAGGCGGGTAGTTTCCTAACCATCGTTCCTGGAGAGTTAAACCAGTACTAGACTACCTTCCTCCGCGCTAAACTACCAAAGCAACTCCCGGGGATAGAACCCACGCCAGAGAGGTAACTGGATTAGAAGTCATTGACTCTAACCCCTCGACCACGGAGGCGGTCTTTTATGTCTTGAATGAGGATTATAACCAAGAAGCATCAATTGTCTTCGTATGTTTACTTTTTAGAGATGAATCGCCATGTTGGCTAAATACAGAATCATATCGATCGTTGTCATCTCCAGATGGAGTGTTTAGGTGCAGTTGTCAGAATAACATCGTTTACATAATTATTATAACAGTCCTTTTTTGGTTCAATAAGTTTAATTTTCAACACCTTTAAAACTGAAAAAGCACCGAAAATAATTGTTGATGTGTTCTGATAATTGTGTCATTTACTGACAGTAGAAGTTTGTCCATCATTTTACAGTAAGGAAAGTTTGCATGTTCCATGAAATGCATTCTTAAAGTCCTAATAAGTCACTGTACTATGGGCTTTAATTAAAAATACAATTATAGCAATTGCTTTAAGTTGCTCATATTTTTAAAAAAAATTTTTTTTCAATGTTCTATTTATTTATTCATTCCATTCATATCATGCCATTATAGAGTGGGTACCGCCATAAAGAAAATACCACGGTTTTTTCCTAAAAACCACAGTGTAAACCGCGGTATACCACGGATTTTCATTGTACGCTATAGGTTAATTTTTATCTCTAAAATAAGTATCAAGGTAGGCTGGTATAGAATTTCAAATATTATATTTAAGCAGATCTATAAAATACAGATTAATCAAAGCATCATTTAACTTTTTTCAATCGGTACTTTCGCATGTTGACAATCATAAATTAATTGGGTCATGGATCAGTTCTTGTTGTTTTTAGCTCACCTGACCACGAAGTGGTCATGGTGAGGTATAGTGATGGGGCTATGTCCAGCGTCCGTCGTCGTGCGTCGTTCGTCGTCAACAATTGGGTTGTTAACTGTCTAGCAGTCACAGTTTTGATCGGATCATCATCAAACTTTGTCAGAATGTTTGTCTCAATGAAATACAGATCGAGTTCTAAGATGGGTTATCTCGGGTCAAAAACTAGGTCACAGGAGCTAAAACTAGAAAAAGCTTGTTAACAGTCTAGAGGCTGCAGTTTTTATCCAAATATTCTGGAAATTTGTAAGGAAGGTTGTTTTGATGATATCTAGGTCAAGTTTGAAGATGAATCATCTCCGGTCAAAAACTAGGTCACAGGAGCTAAAAATAGAAAAAGCTTGTTAACACTAACAATTGGGTTGTTAACAGTCTAGCAGTCAAAGTTTTGATTGGATCATCATCAAACTTTGTCAGAATGTTTGTCTCAATGAAATACAGATCGAGTTCGAAGATGGGTTATCTCGGGTCATAAACTAGGTCACAGGAGCTAAAAATAGGAAAAGCTTGTTAACACTCTAGAGGCTGCAGTGTTTATCCAAATATTCTGGAAATTTGTCGGGAAGGTTGTTTTGATGATATCTAGGTCAAGTTCGAAGATGGGTCATCTCGAGTCAAAAACTAGGTCACAGAGCTAAAACTAGAAAAAGCTTGTTAACACTCTAGAGGCTGCAGTTTTTATCCAAATATTCTGGAAATTTGTCAGGAAGGTTGTTTTGATGATATCTAGGTCAAATTCGAAGATGGATCATCTCCGGTCAAAAACTAGGTCACAGGAGCTAAAAATAGAAAAAGCTTGTTAACACTAACAATTGAGTTGTTAACAGTCTAGCAGTCACAGTTTTGATTGGATCATCATCAAACTTTGTCAGAATGTTTGTCTCAATGAAATACAGATCGAGTTCGAAGATGGGTTATCTCGGGTCATAAACTAGGTCACAGGAGCTAAAAATAGGAAAAGCTTGTTAACACTCTAGAGGCTGCAGTGTTTATCCAAATATTCTGGAAATTTGTCGGGAAGGTTGTTTTGATGATATCTAGGTCAAGTTCGAAGATGGGTCATCTCCGGTCAAAAACTAGGTCACAGGAGCTAAAAATAGAAAAAGCTTGTTAACACTCTAGAGGCTGCAGTTTTTATCCAAATATTCTGGAAATTTGTCAGGAAGGTTGTTTTGATGATATCTAGGTCAAGTTCGAAGATGGGTCATCTCCGGTCAAAAACTAGGTCACAGGAGCTAAAAATAGAAAAAGCTTGTTAACACTAACAATTGGGTTGTTAACAGTCTAGCAGTCACAGTTTTGATTGATCATCATCAAAACTTTGTCAGAATGTTTGTCTCAATGAAATACAGATCGAGTTCGAAGATGGGTTATCTCGGTCATAAACTAGGTCACAGGAGCTAAAAATAGGAAAAGCTTGTTAACACTCTAGAGGCTGCAGTGTTTATCCAAATATTCTGGAAATTTGTCGGGAAGGTTGTTTTGATGATATCTAGGTCAAGTTCGAAGATGGGTCATCTCCGGTCAAAAACTAGGTCACAGGAGCTAAAAATAGAAAAAGCTTGTTAACATACTAGTGGCTGCAGTTTTTATCCAAATATTCTGGAAATTTGTCAGGAAGGTTGTTTAGATGATATCTAAGTTAAGTTCGAAGATGGGTCATCTCCGGTCAAAAACTAGGTCACAGGAGCTAAAAATAGAAAAAGCTTGTTAACACTACAGTGGCTGCAGTTTTCATCCAAATATTCTGGAAATTTGTCCGGAAGGTTGTTTAGATGATATCTAAGTTAAGTTCGAAGATGGGTCATCTCCGGTCAGCAATTAGGTCACAGGAGCTAAAAATAGAAAAAGCTTGTTAACCTTCTAGTGACTGCAGTTTTCATCCAAATATTTTGGAAATTTGTCAGGAAGGTTGTTTTGATGATATCTAAGTCAAGTTCGAAGATGGGTCATCTCCGGTCAAAAACTAGGTCACAGGAGCTAAAAATAGAAAAAGCTTGTTAACACTCTAGTGGCTGCAGTTTTCATCCAAATATTCTGGAAATTTGTCAGGAAAGTTGTTTTGATGATTTCTAGGTCAAGTTCGAAGATGGGTCATCTCCGGTCAAAAACTAGGTCACAGGAGCTAAATATAGAAAAAGCTTGTTAACACTCTAGTGGCTGCAGTTTTCATCCAAACAATTTGGAAATTTGTCAGGAAGGTTGTTTTGATGATTTCTAGGTCAAGTTCGAAGATGGGTCATCTCAGGTCTCATGTCCAGTCAAAAACTAGGCCACAGGAGCTAAAAATAGAAAAATCTTTTTAACACTCTAGTGGCTGCAGTTTTGATCCAAATTTCCTGGAAATTGGTCAGGAAGGTTGTTTTGATGATTTCTAGGTCAAGTTTGAATATGGGTCGTGTCCGGTCAAAAATTAGGTCACATTGCCCAAATATGGAAAAATCTTTATAACACACTAGAGGTCACATGTTTGACTCAGTTGTCATCAAACTTGGCAATGATGCTTGTTTAAGCGGTTGTGTCAGGTGAGCGATCCAGGGCCATCATGGCCCTCTTGTTTTTATTACATATTGGTCTCTTTCAACATTTTACAACTGTTATATAAATTGCATAGTTAAAATGGAAAAATAAAATGTTTTTATTGCTTATTGATTAATAAAATAATAGGTCAAATGCACATTAGCCGATGACAAATATTTATTTGTCAGTTAATTTTATAACAGAGTCCCAGGTGCTATTGTAAATTTTTTATTGCAAGGGCTAAGTATTTAATTAATCTGTGTCAGAAACCAAAACAAACATGTACCCCAAAAGCAAATTAAAATTATCACATAGAAAACAGCTGACCATGTTACTGCTTAATTAATATTCATTAGTTGAACGAACATTACTTTTAATCCAGTTTCTACTCCGTTCTATAATTAGTTAATTGCCATGCGCATGCAGTAAGTGCGTGACGTAAGGAGAACCCCTAGCCTGATTGGTCGCTATTTATATAAATACTTAAAATAGTAACACCCTAATTTTATGCAAGCAATGCCTTCATGAATTATCAATCTTTACAATTAGTTTTCGTATCAAATAAGCGATATTTGGACAAGTAAATGTAAGTCGACAATTCTTGCTTCTTCAACTGAGATCATGCAAGTCGACAATTCTGGCTTACATGCGGTAATCGATAAAGCATTCAATTTTCGCTAAGAACTATCGAAGAATGATAACAGTTGGCAAAAGTTGTTTGCAAAAAAGTTAACTCAAAGAAACATTGACATATACAACAGAAACAGTTTTTTAATTAAGTACATTTTACGGATCTGTAATTGCTTTAAATTAGAGCT